AAAGCACGCTGGTGCAAAATGCTTTGGCTTGGAAAACTTCCTGTGTCGGACCTACATTTTGGGGTCACCGAAGGAGGATTCATGCTGTCCTCAAGGTCTGTTAGACGGTTGCCAAAGCAATATGATTCATCCTTGTGTGCCAAGCTGCGGGACATGCCATGGAGCCAAGCATCTTTTCTTGCAGGCCAAGTTGGTCAAGCACGTAAGCAGAAAACGCTTGAGGGTGATGAAGGTGCCGGAACCGAGCCTCGGGTTGCGCAGCAAGCCGAAGTGCCATCACAAGCAGGTGCGGCGGAGAATCCTTTGCCGTTTCCGGGTCATCTGTTGCCCGACGATGCAATGCTGCAAGAGTTTGTGCCACCGCTGCCCCGAGAGCCGGTGTTGCATTCACCTGAGCCGCCCACGCCTGTAGCGGCCACTCCAGGGCAGCAAGCAGAAACTCCGATGCAAGTTGAAACGGCCTCGCCACTTGTGTCGTTTGATGATGGGCCTGGGATCGCTTCTTCGTCCTCTGGGATAGCACGACCTGCGACTGAGGAAGCAGGCGGGGAAGCTCCAGCCCGAAAGAAACTTCGTCTTGATGCTGTTCAGACAAGTGCACATGATTGTGAAATGTTCCATCACGATGAGGCTCCCGAGCTTCTTGATGAAAGTGCAGAGCAATTTCTTGATTGTGCGGATGAGTCCATGTGGGACACTGAGGATTGGGCTGATGATGCAGCCAATGCGCCTGACATCCCTAGCATTTTGATTAAGCCTTTCAGTGAAACTGAGCCAGTGTGCGATGCATCCGAGCTTGAAGCCATTGATGCTGCAGCAGATTCCTTTGAGCTTGATCGGTTGACGAAAGCCGGTGTTCTTGAACAAAGTGAGTCCTGGCTTGAAGGGCATCGGACATTGTCTTCCAAGTACGTCCGCACATGGAGACCTAAAGTCATCAAGGGAGAGCGCGTTTGGTTGCGCAGAGCCAGGCTGGTTGCGCGAGAATTTGCGCATTTAGATCCGGGCAGGCAGCACTTGTTTGCACCGACCACGACCCAGTGCATGCTGAGAATTGTTCCGTCACTTTTCATTCGCAACTTTGGGGACGGCTGGTCCCTGCTGAGTCTTGATGTATCCGACGCTTTCTTGCAGTGCAAGCAACAGCATGATACCTTGACAAAAGTCGATGGAAAATGGTATAACCTTTTCCGAATGCTGCCTGGGCAACGGGACGGATCTGCTACCTGGTTTCAAGATTTTATGTGTGAGATCCGTGCAGCTGTTGCTGCTGAGCCGTTGGCAGAGCAACCAGTGTTGTTTCGCATCCCGCATGCGGAAGGCAGCCACATGTGCCAAGGAGGTGGAATGGTGCATGTAGATGACATGCTTGCAGCGGGATTGACTGCGCGCCTTCAGGAGCTTGAGAATCACTTGAAGTCAAAGTTTAAAGTGTCCAGTGAATGGATCCGCCAAGTTGGTGACGAGGTTTCCTTCTTGAAGCGGCGACTGATTTTAGTCAGCCCCAATTTGCTGGTTGTTGAACCTGACATCAAATATCTTGAGAAACTCTTGAAAATCACTGGACTTGATGGTGCCAAGGAGCGGTACAAGGCGGCCCCGTTCCCGACTGGAGGCCTGCCCACCGACTTGTCGTCGGACCGTGAGCTGAACTCAGAGTGTGCATCGAAGTATCGCTCAGCACTTGGCATCCTGATGTATCTTGCTTCAGACCTGTTGGCGTGTCAATTTGGGATTCGATTTTTATCCACACATGCCCACAAGCCTACCGAAGGCTGCTGGAAGTTACTGAGGCATCTGACTGCCTATGTGAATTGCCATAAGTCACATGTGCTTGGTTTGGCAAAACCCCAGCTTGGGCAAGGACTGATCTGCAATCGCGTGTCTGAGCAGAAAACTTCTATCCTCGAAATGTTCTCAGACAGTGACTGGTCCGGGGATAAGAAGACGCGCAAGTCCGTATCTGCATGTTGCATTCTTTGGGACGGGCAGCTGCTTCATTCGAGCAGCCAAACACAGAAGGTGATCAGTCTTTCTTCATGTGAGGCTGAGTACAACTCCCTTGTGGCTGGTTCGGCAACTGCTATCCTCCTTAAGAATTGCATCATACACCTGTGTCCGGAACTGCATATTGCGCTGACATGCTTGTGCGACAATGCAGCAGCGCGGTCTCTTGGCAATCGCCAAGGAGTCGGACGGACTCGCCACATCGACGGAAAGCTGTTATGGCTTCAGCAGATGACTCAGGAAAAGATGCTGGACATTTCGCCGGTTGGAACCGCGGAGAATGTTGGTGACCTTCCCACGAAGCCGCTGAAGCCAGAGAGAGTTGAGTTCATCCTTGCACGTTTGAATGTTCGTGACAAAGACTGCGGCTATGCTTTGGTTGGGAATGATCACTTGCTTGACCACAGGACGCGACACCATGTGAGTCGCATTGTGAAGCGAGGAGCAGTGAACCCACAGCTTGTGCTTCAGATTCTTGCGTTGGCTTTGCAAGCAGATTCTGTCGCCAGTGCCGATGATGAGCCCAATACGCATCGCGATGACGCCTTGAGCCAGGGGACTGGCGAGCACGGTTACGGGGAGATGTTTTGGAATTTTCTTGAACAGTTGCTGTATGCGATTTTCTTGATTGCTGATTTCCTTGCAGAGCATCCCATGCCGAGTTTTATCGTGAGCCAATGCGTTATCGTTGCAGTGCTGTGTGGTATCTTCTTGTGCCGTGGAAACAGGCCAGAAAGATTGCATGAGAAAGCAAGTGAGGCAGCCGCGAGCAGCGATTCCAGCGCGCCGCAGGTGCCGGGTGTGTGCGTCAATGTGACGGTCGAGGGAGCCAAAGTTTCGGTTGATAGTGTAGTCCCGAAACCTGCCGAGAACCCTAGTCCTTGTGCCTTGGCCAGCCCTAAGAGTAGTGCCGGGCCGTGCAGTGCGAGTGTGCTTGGACAGAGCAGCGGCCGAGCTGCTGATGATCATGATGCTCCCGACCCGACAGCGCGATCATCCAATGGACCTGCGGTGCAGCCGAAAGCACCGAACCCAGCAGTCAGATATGCACCTGTACTTGACCAGCGTATCAGAGATGAGCTTGATCAGCAAACCGTTTGGGTGACCAAGTCGCGTGGTTATGCATACCATGGCCGCCGGAGTTGCGGCAACCTGCATAACGCCAAAGCCCTTGAGCGCCTTACACGTGGAGAGGCAGTGCGACGAGGCTTTAAGCCATGCAAAGCTTGCTACGGTGGCTGACTTGTTATAATGCTCTTGATGCGCCAATCCTTGAGTGCGCTGCTTCGGGCAGTGCACTGATCGGTTGGATTCTTGTACAAAGGCTGCTGGCAACGACGATTGTACATAGTCTTGTGTTTGAGCAAAACATGACAGGACTTCGAAACAGCATTTTGCTGTCAATCTCGATTCACTTACGAACCACTTTGGCAGCTGTGGAGCAGCTGCGAGTCCGAATGAGTAGGCTCACGAGCCACTCGATGCAATTAGGCATCGCAATCCTTGTGCTGATCCCTTAGGAATCATGCTTCAACGTGGTATGGCAGCTGCGAGCTGCACTGATGCCACATGCGCCTACGCTTGGGTGAGTCAAGCTATCGTCTCGTGGGCGGCCCGCGCCCTCAGAGACGATGTAACCTAGTCGTAGATGTACAGTTATACGTAGTCGAACGACGTATGGAGCCAACGACCTTTTGGGGCAGTGCTCATGAAAAGTAGTCTGTGAGTCGAGTGCAATCGTGAACTAAGCAAGCTGTTGTTTCGTACGGGGTGAGGCAAACTAGATTATGCCGAAGACTTCAACCCGCGAGCTCAATGAAGCTTCGTAGGCGGGGTGTTTATTATTTTGCCTCCTAGGATACCCCATGCATTTTATCATGATTTGCTTTATCGTATTTCATGCACTCATGTGTTTCACATTGTGATTGCGCTATACTCCGCAGGCGTCTTTGAGGAATCAAAACATTTTCAGTTTTGTTGTTCATGTCAGGGTGTTGCAGAATTTTTTCGCAGGAACGTCCTTTGATCACCTCTCTAAAACACGCAAACTGTTTTATAGCTGTGTCATGTAGGCCCGGAATGACAAAAGGCACAGTCTTGATCACCTACAATCGAACACTAGTGTCCAAGTGCCGAATGTCCCTCCAGGTATTCTGACTGTAACAACTTCTCACGACAACATACAGCAACTGTAGTTTTGCGGTAGGTCTCGGCCGGGTGGGAGCGGGCGCCTCCAAAGTGAGGTGGATGGACGCGGGCCCGGCTCCGGAGCCTCAGTCCCACGCGTGGGCTGCAAGGGTCTTGGGCCTTGAAGTGGCTCAGCTGGTGTTGCAACGTCGTATCGGGGCCCTTGAACTGTCTATCAGTGCAATCCAGCAGCGTACTACCTCTCTTGAGAGGGCATTGTTGCGTGTGTCCCGCCTTGAACGGGAAGCCAGACGTCTGCAGAGATCCAACATTCTTTTGGTGCGCGCTCTTAGGGAGAGTCAGCAGAACTATCTCTTGCTTGCACGTAGAGTGGCCGCTCTGGAAGTAGCGGGACTGTGAGGATTGGTGTGTGTGTCATCGCAGGGGCCATGCAGCCACCGGCTGCACCTGACCATAAAGCTTTTTCCAAGACCAAAGCATCTGCACCTCCTTTGCCATGTGGAAGTCCACTGCCTTTGCCTTTACCGAAGTGCTCCCCTAAAGCCCCTCCCCTGCCGTCCTCAGGCCTGGCCTTGCCGGGATTGTCTTCAGCACGTGTCCCAGAGCCTCTGCCCGCTGCAGGGCCCCCGTTGGGAGTGCCGATCTTTGCACCCGGTCCGGTAAAGTCTGCTAGCGTCGGTGCCACTTCGAAGGCTTCAGCTCCGCTTCCTGTGGGGGTTTCTTCTTCGGGTTTGAAGCGCACTCTTTCTGCAGATCTTGCTGGTGTATCGCGTGCCACACAGAAGAGTCGAGGCAGTGCTTCTTCTGCGATTCCTCCGAAATACAGACACAATGCAGGCTACAGCATGGTTGCGCTCTCACTTTTCTGGTCTGCTCTTGAAGTGCTAGGAGCGTCTAGTGCTCTGTACCAGCGGTTGGCAAATTCCATACATTCGGATGCGCATATCCAGCGGATCCTGGCAGGATTCTCAGTGAACACTGTGCTTCGCTATTTGTCGGCATGGTCTCATTTCTTGGTGAATCTTGAAGGGCTCGGGTATACGCTTGAGCTTCTCGACGGGGTAGTCATGGCTGATATTCTGGTTACAATGACTCTTGAGAAGCACGGTGATCCGACGCTTGGAGCGGGTACGCATATGACTATAAAAGCTCTGCGGTGGCTATGCAGGATTGGCCAAGCTGAGTTTCTTCGTTGCGCTTATGATAAAGTCATTGATTCATTTCTGAAGACAAAGATTCCATCGGAGCGTCGGGAGAGCTTCCCGCTACCGCTATTCGTTATCCAACTTTGGGAGAGACGGATCCTTATGCGGCAGTCCAGCATTCAAGAAATCATAGTGCTAGGCGCTTTCTTGTGTGCAGTGTGGGCATCACTGCGCTTCGCCGACATGCAGCGAGTAGAGTGGTCAAGTTTGGTGTTTGATTTACACACTTTGAGGGGCACTTGTTACCAAACAAAAACCTGCTCCACGGGACAACCCTGGGGGCTTCTTGCTTCAGGCATTCTGTCGCGAGGCACGCACACCTGGATGAGTAAATATTTGCACGCGCTTGACAAGCTGGCATATCGGCACCAGCAGGAGTTTCCCGAGGCAGACGCCCCATCTTTTATGTTACCAGCTCTGGACTCGGACGGTTTCGCCCTGCCTCTGGAGCCAATGTGTTACGCTCAGGCTTTGAAGCTGCTTAGGCACTACATTACAATGCCATGGTCGTCATCGCCCCCAGAGGTTCCGGAGTTGAATTTCACGATACACAGCTTGAAAGCCACTTTGCTCTCCATGGGTCTTCAAATAGATGTTCCGGAGACTGACAGGCGTCGCCAAGGACACCATCGGGTTACAAGCTCTGAATTGTATAGTCGTGATGACATCCACGGTATGATTAGATGCCAAACAAGCATTCGGGACAGCGCCCGCCAAGGTTTCGAATTTGTGGTTCCTCTTCACCGGGGGGGCCAGATGCCTGTTAAACCTCATAGAGCACCGTTGGAGTCTTTCAGCAAGGCCTACGAGTTCGAGCCCTTTCTGTGGTTCAATTTCCTGCTTGATGCATCGGGCGGCTCCTTGCAGGGCAGTGATCAGTCTTGGGAGTTTCCGGAGCTGCCTGCTTCTTCGGATTCAGGGCCAGAGCCCGATCAAACAACTGGGTATCAATCAGATCCTGGTAGCTCGGAGGATGAGGATGAAGAACAGTGTGACGACACGGTTGAGTCGTTGGGCACTGCTGAAGAGTTTCTCCTCGGCTCCACAACCGGTATTCTGCACCTGCTATCGCCATGCTCTGAGGGTGACAGCATCTTCGTTCAGGGACAGTACGTGCGTGCGATTTGTGGTGCCCCACTTTGCTCTGACAGGTTACGCATTCACACATTTGTCCCATCCTCAAGCAGATTGTGCCGTAGGAGTGCCTGTTTGCTAGCGCTGTCCACCATGGAATGATGTTATGAGCCGTACGGGGTTATGAAAAAAGGGGAGGGGCGAATGATCTCTGTACAGCACGTCATGAAACATGCTGTCGGTGAGCTGTTGTCCGCTTGCATGCTGAACTATCGGTAAAAATCACACGTGCATGGGCTGTTCCTCGCCGCGCGCAGCAGGGACTGAAATCACGTGTCGTTTCACACTGTTTCACACCGTTTCATTCTCTAGCGGTATTGTTTAGGCAGTACTGTCTGTCTTGTGTCCCTCCGATGGCCGATGATCTCAAGGCTGCCCTGACCTCTGAGGGGCTCCCCGAGGACGTCATTCAAGTTGCCATCGATGGTGGGTGGACGGCCTCGGCTTTCAAGAATTCAGTTGAGACCCAAACGGAGTTGGAAGCCATCCTGGATGAAATTTTTCCGGGTGTTGTTCTGACTAGACTGCAAAAATCGCAGATTTGAGCGGTTTGGGCCAGCATACAAGCACCAGCAGCATCAATTTCTCCCTCGACGACGGTCGCATCCTCGGCTGCTGACGGGAGCTGGGTTGAAAGCTTTGCTCCAAAGATGTCATCATCAAAGTTGTCTGAGCTGAAGCAGCAGTTTCTCAGATCCTATCCGAGTGAGATTCTTACGCCATCAACACTGCCATCATTGCGGTTGTTATCATTGGCAGCTCACCAGGAAGCTAAACGTGAGTACAAGTGGATACCATGGAAGCTTCGCATGTCAGATGAGAGGGCCTCCGAGTTGCTCATCTCCCGCCCAGCCAAACAGCCCCGGTTGGAAATGTTAGGATTGTCCAGTCTCATTCTGGACGAACCACCATCCATCGAGATTAGTGACGGCACCATGGGGGTTAGCGGTGTGCAACGGATCCTTGCCGTGCATGATACGGCCCTGGCTATGGTTGGCTCAGCCCATCTTGCACGCCTCAAAGCGTATAGCTCTAAGTTTGTGCATCTGCTGTCACAGCGCTTTGATCCCGCATCCGGCCTTCGGCCACCTAGCATATCGGAGGCTCAGCAGGCCGACTGTAGGATGTGGCAGTGTATTTATGCGTTGGTCAGTGACAAAGGATGGACACTGAACGATGCGCTCCATGAGTATACGGAGGTCAGAGGTGAGTTGAGTACTCTGTTGCAGGCTCGCCCCAAACCCGCGCAGGTGAAAGGTTTGGAAACCAAGGGTAAGGGCAAGTTGGGTAAGCTGATGGCCACTGCATTTGCTTCAGGCGGAGGCAAGAATACAGGCAAGGGTAAGGGTAAGGAGAAAGGTCCAGGGGCTGGTAAAGGCAGGGATGCAAATGCGCCCGGTCGCCACATCAGCTTTGTGAAGGAGATCCAGGTGGGATCTGAGCGCAAGGGATTGTGTGTGCAGTGGCAAATGGGTCGCTGCTCGCGGGGTTCGGGGTGTCCCTGGATCCATGCCTGTGCCTACCCGCGTCAGGACGGGAGCGCCTGTGGGAGTAAGAGCCACACGGCTCTGCAACATGAACAAACTCCGCACTGATCCTTGAAGCCCTGCCCCCAACCCAGCTTGGGCCCCACCTCAGCTGTTGGGTCCTCTGTTTCACCCGGGGTTCACTTTACTCCGGTTTCAGGTGGCATTTTGCCAGTGTCCAGTGTTGGCTATTCCCAGCAATCTGTAGGCCAAATTGGCCGGTCTGCTGTCTCGCGGAATGCATCCGCATCTGTGCATGCTGCATCGTTGGTGTCGGGGAGGGTCGGTTCCCCTGAGCCCGTGTTGGGCTCGCGAGTTGATCATGATCGATCAACAGAGGGTGTGCTGTCGATGTCGGCCCCAGGTGTGGCCTCCTCTGCTACAGCTGTGCAAGCTGCAGGAACTGATGTCACGCACGTCGCATCAACAGGTGTCCCCTGCATTCATGATTATAGCTCGTGTTACGCAGCCTTGAAAGATGCCGCTTGGCCTCCGCGTGTGGGCCCCAATCGCCCTGGAACTACTTCGATTTCGGAAGATTCGGAATACTGGAATTTTGGGGTTCAGATTAGTTCTAGACATTGCTTGACTGCAGCTTCCAAAGCGCTGCCGGAGTTGTGCCGTGACTTGAACAAATTCCTGCGTCAGCTGTTTCCTGGCGAATCTTGGAACACTCTATGCGTCAGCAGAAACATCCTGACATCGCCTCATCAGGATACAGCGAATGTGGCAGAATCTCACAGTGGGCATTGGTTCGTACACTTCAGGAGGTATCTGGCTTGAGGATCCATCCGGCTCCACTAATCAGTACATCCCGCAGCTATGCTCCGAAGTCGTTGGCAAAATTGTCAACACTCATCACGCCCCTTTGAAGTTTCCATCACACCTTTGGCATTGCACACGGCCTTGGCTAGGTGATAGGTGGGTCTTGACGGCATTCACTTTACCTGATGTTTCACATGATGTCATTGAGGCCCTGGGGTTCCCATCAGGCGAGTGTGAATCTTCTAGGGAGTTACAGGCCTCCGACGGTACGGCTGGCGCGAAATCCGAGTCATTCATGCCTCAAAACAGTACGCAAGCGAAGACAATCGGCCCTGCCACAAACATGAAAACAGCCGAATCGAGCCCAGAGCCGGATAACACCAAAGCACTCATTAATTGGGGTAGAGCTTCATCGCACGGTTTTGCGAATCATTCTTTAAAGGTGCAGCCTACTGTCCCTAGAATCCCCCCGAACACGGCCGCAGAGCTGCTGCCAGAACCTTCGAGTTACAGGATCTTCCTCGACATTTGCTCGGGCCTCGAACAGCCATTATCGCTCGCAGTTCACGAACTTGGTTTTTCGACTTTAGCGGTTGATATCCTGCTCGATAACAGTATGGACTTGCTCGACAACGGGTTCTATGAAAGACTGTTGTTCCTTTGCGGATCTGGCATTGTGGGCTACTGCGCAGCCTCCCCGTGTTGTGCCGAGTACTCTCGGTTAAAGCTGTCGGGAGGTCCCCCATACGCCATCAGAACGCCACAGCAGCTTGATGGGGTTTTCGGTTTGTCACCCGCAGAGCAATCACGTGTGCAAGAGAGTCATGAGATTCTCGCCAGAGCTTGCAAATGCATTCAAGTGGTTCATGCCTCGGGTGGTCACGGCCACCTCGAACAGCCTTCTGGGGCTATGTCCTGGGAGGAATCGTGCGTCCAAAGCTGGATACACTCAGGCTCCACAGCTCTGGTTTTGCTCCCAGCTTGTGCATTTGGGGTGGACTGGTCAAAGACGTGGCTCTTTGCCACCAGCTATCAAAAATTTTCTGTCATGGGGCAAACATGCCAACATGGTAAGAACGCTCATGTTGTCATGCAAGGCCGTTCATCTGATGGCTCATTTCTGAGTCGACGCACCGCGAAATACCCTCAAAGTTTGGCTGAGACTATAAGTGATTCATCTAGGCCCGGGGGGCGTGACGCGCAAGAGGGTTCAGGGCATTTGGAGCATGGGTTCCAAGCCCTGGACTTGAAAATGATTTGTTGTAGTAGGGTTTGATTATTTTTCCATCGATCAGTCAGCGCAAGAACAACAGCCTCTCCAAACAAGTATCGTCCCTTCCCAAGAAAACGCGGCACGTTTTGGAACAAAATCGTCGTGAAAGCTACAAACCTACAACTTGTGATGTAGCCAACCCAAACTGCAAACCGCAAGCAAGCATATCTTCCTGACTTTGTCGGCTGTTTTATGAACTCGAATTCCGCGATTTCTCAGCCGCCGGGCCGAAACTCGATTGGGAATTGGGAATCCGAATCGCAGCACAGTTCAGGCACATGACTCACGTGACAGTGACAGCTTGACAACTTATCATCCAATCTTGCAAGAGGACGTAGGCAGTAGGCATAGCCTAGCTTGCTTGAGGTGTTACATTGGATAAGCCAAGATAAGCCAGATCTTTTCGTTGTGTAGTGTCATAGTGCTATGGCAGAGCCTGCCATCTTTAGGCTTCCAGATCCTGGGGACGGTGAGCTTGAGGACAGAGAGTCCGAGTCAGAGGCCGAGGAAGCTCCCAGGTCTGCAGGTGCCCTGCGGACTGTTCGATATAGGGACAGACTTCGAAATGCTTCCCGTGCAGAGGTTTTGTTTCTGTATGCGAAAACCTGTGGCGACGAATCAGAATCTCTGGGCACCGCTGCTGCAGGGAATTATTTGTTTTGTGTTGCTGAGCTTGGGGGAAAATGCATCAAGCCGTTGGGTGCCCAAGAGCACTTGCAGCAGCAAGATACTTGGCGAGCTCGGCGTCAGAAACGTCGCGATCGAGATTTCGCCGCTAAGCAGATGTCCCTCCAGAACCAGACAACCCGAAACCAGATGTTCAAGTGCTGTTTGAAGTCTCTTTTTCGTTTCAGGGCAGCTGTCCAGTTGGGGCCTGCCCAGGCTGCAGTGGCAGGTGCCTGGTGCCGGGCACCTGCAGCTGCTAACCAGGGTGCGGTGACTCCTGTTCCTGCGATGCCCGCCTTGGCTGGCAGGTTGGCGGTTTTGCCTGCAGGGCAAGCGCAATGGGTTTTTCAAGCTGCTGCGCCAAGCGTCATCTTCGAAGCCGTTGCAGATCGCCAGGGCCTTTACACTTGCTTTGCAGACGGACAGGCGGCGGAGCCTGAAGTAGGCACTGCGAGGCGTTACCTAGGGCGTCCTTTCTGGATGGTTCGCTTGCCACCAACTGTCATGAAGCATTTGATGGAGATAGGCAAGGAGTTCGTGGTTCCTGGTGGGCTTGTGACTTCTTTGGGGCACCAGTTGCCCGGAACCGTTCCTGCTGCGGCAGAAGGAAGCCCCAGTGATGGTGCCGACAGTGGTTCCTCTTCCTCCTGCGAGATGAAGAAAGTGCGCAGGCCGGCCATGCAAGAAATCCTGTTGGGAAAGCTCGCTTACAAGCTCAGCTCAACGGTAGGCATTCAAGATGTGGTTCGCACCGTCCTTCGAATGTTAGTGCCAGATAGTTTAGGTCTGGCAGACAACATGAAAGTGTCGCATGGGCATGTGCGGAATATCTTGCTAAAGCTTGATGCCTTGCATTCCTTGTCTCGCCGGTTCCTTGCCCCACCAGGTGGTGGGGCAGACAAGTCGCTGCGAATTGTCAGGTACATCAGTCCTGACAGTTCCCCGCAAGCGAATTATGATTATTTTTGTGCGACAGAAGAGTTGCTGCTCTATCGTTCCGACGAGCTTCCAAGGGATGCGGGTGGAAATGTAGCTCCTTTCAAAGGGTTTGAACACCAGAGGCGTTCGATGTTGTGTACAACAATTGCGAGAGGACAAGGAAGCACAGCTTCGAAGGCAAGCAAGATGGTACATATGATTGCCGTTGAGAGTGGTGCGTCTCTCTTTGAGACGTATCGTTCGGAAGTTCGGGGCTTCTTAAGCGATCAAGGAACGGAGCGAGGCATAGCATCGTTTCCAGTCCGCAGTTGCTCTGAGGTCCAGAGTATTGTGGGCGCTCAAGCTTTGGCGAGCGAGGCAATACAGGAGGATTTTCGTGAATTGCCGCTCTTTCATTCCGCTCTACACATACCGGGAACACTACACATAGTGTTTAACGCACTGGAATTCAGCTTGAAGCAGCTTGAAACCTGGCAAAAATTCGAGAAACAGTTGAACAGCATCACCCGTGTGTGCAAAGAAAAGAGTTACTCAGAAGTAATTCTTGTGAGAATGATGAAGCATGCGAGCCCCGAGGAGAGACGGTTGTTGCATCGGATGGATGACCTCTTAGACTGGAGGTGGGATTCGCTCGCAAGAGTGCTGAAGGTTTGGGTTCCTCTATATCCCACCTTCAAGAAATATTGGAACCCAGCTGTTTTTGGTGGGGACAGCTCGTCAGTCACAATTCGAGCTGTGACGGAAGCGTTGGCAGACGAGTGCCATTTCGACATGGCAGTGTGGACGCATCAGTTCTCTGCCGAGGCCACCAGGCTGGCCCACTTTTTCGAGGGTTGTCACTGCCATCAGGAGCAGCTGACAGACCCAGAAAACCGGGAAAAGATAAACTGTTGTTGGAAAGGCAGGCGCTTGCCTTGGCTTGCGGTTGGTAATCTCCAGGGAGCTTTGCAAGATGCCATGACAAACAACGAGATTAGTGTTCTTGCGCATCTCTTGTCTCGTTCTAGTGAAACTGCAAGTCGGATGGCGCACATGGCGGACACGTGCAACAAAGTATTTGTTGCCGTTATCCAGCAAAAGCTTGCGTATGCTCAGCAAGTACCATGGGTGTTTGCCGCAGCGTTTGCGGGGTATATGGGCGAGACTTGGGCCCGAGTGAAAAAGGTTCTTCGGCCACATCTTCAGAACGTTGACAACATGATCTCCAGTGGCCAAGTCGGCGCTCTAGACTCTGTTACACATGCTTTGTTTGGACCAACCGACACAGGCCGCATGCTCCGAGAGTTTCTGAACTCGGAGGATGACGTGCCCCTTGATCGATGGCCAGCGTTGTTTTGGAGAGTACAGGAATATGCCTTTGTTTCTTTGTCCGAGCGACACACGGAGAGAGAGCATGTCGGTGTCAAGGTTGCAGCAAACCGTGGTC